TCGAATTTCCCAGAGGAACCCACCCGAGGGATTAATAAAGTTCTATCTTATCTTATCTACTGCACAGACCCTAATGGCTCTACAGGCTCACTACATAAAGAGGGAATTTTCATTTACCTTTATTTCTTACAGAAAGGCTTACGGTGTGTAATTATGTGCTTCCTGATAATTTAGAGGATGTTATCCATAACCAAACCAAAAGTAAAGGAAACATATGTCAGCAAAACCTGGAAAAAAATACACAAAAAATACAGGGAAGTCCTGACGTTTTTGTAAGAGTAACAGTAATCCAATCATATGTGTTCACACATCTACAGTATGGATTCATTACATGTAACATTAATTACATTGGAGTTGCTAAAAATAAAATGTTGTACTTTTAACAACAATATGACATCAGAAGGGCTCAAATATAGGGCTCAGAAAAAACAGCAGTACCTGCCTAAAGATACACGAACAGCATGTTAACATGGATTTATTGTCTTTCCAGTTTCATATATATATGTTTTGTATATGTTTTTGTTAAAATGTCTGCATCTAACACATAAATGTACTGAATTTCACACTTTGCTGATAAAGTGCATGGAAAGAGAGGCAGAACCTTCACAGATGAAGATGAATAGGTAGATTTATTATTGTTGTTCAGGGGATTCAGAATCATTGAGCAGGGTTGGAAAACTTGAAATCACACCACATAATCTCCTATAGCCAAATTTCTTGCATGAATGTGGTCTCGCTATTTTATTTAATTACATTTCTGTATCCACTGAATCTTTTACAAGTTAATATTAATTATATTTAGTTGCTTTGACCCTGTTGGTTGTTTGCTACGACTCTTCCTCTCTCTGGAGTCACACATTTGCACTTCCCTTTTTGGCACAATGCCTCTTATGCAAAGCTCAACTTTAAAACTCTAGCCTTAACCTACACCTGATCCTTAGACTCAATTTGAACTCTCACCCAGCTTTTTGAACCTCTGTCCGCAAGCGAGGACCGGGATGTTCTCGTTTTCCAAAAATATCCTCCGCCTCATGCTCAGAAACTCAAATCGGTCCTCACAAAGATGGACACACAAGTACACACACATACCATATGCCACAATTCTGGCATCATCCTTGGTAATAAACGGGACTAAATGGAGGCAAGGTTGAAGCGTAGGAGGGCTGGCTGAAGTGTGTCTTTGTGTATATATATGTGCATGTCTCCTAGCAACCAGTACCCTTCACTCTCAGTCTGCAGTGAGCCGACAGAACATTATCAAGCTGCAGATGCAACAGGTGCACTGTAAAACATGCTGCTGGAATGAGGTAGAGAAGACTTTATTTATTGTCATGATTAATTTCAAGTTAAAACAAATAGATCCTTTAGTTTTAAAATTATAATGAGCATATCTGCCTATTTTCTTTGAACCAGTCAGTCTCTGTCATCTATTTTCAAAATGTCACAAAAGATCCTACTGGATCAATTACTGAATGTCATTCGGTAATTGAGCTGTTAAGAGCATCATTACCTGGATTTGCTACAAATTCAAGTAAAATTCCCAACGATATCTGGCAACGTTAAGGTGTCATGCTGCATCACATCCTCTGCCCACCAGTCCAACACAGTGCTTTACTGTAAAGTGACCCCAGTCCAACAAGCTCACCTGTTTGTTCTGCACTAATATGTTGAGAGCTTGAATAACACAAAGTTAGTATACTTAACTTTGTTTTGCAGTGAGCAGTACTGAGCTGAACACTTCACTTCTCTTCTGTAATGCTAGCTAGATGCTGAAGCACCGCAACCACAGCCTATGGACATCTTCATCAAAAATACTGTTCCAGCTCATTCCAGCCCAGTTAAACCTCTGAGCATAGAGCTATGAATGATGTATAAATTATATGGTTTTGTCTCTTTCATCACATGTGATAAGCCACCATGATGGATATGCCATCCCACCATTTAGGCTCAGTTTGATGTTCAAAGACATGAAGCGCTCTGAAATCGTCCTTCAAATGTGTTAAACCTGAAATAAAGAGCCTGTTTGGGAAATGTAAGGAGTTGAAAGTACTGATATTTAAAAATAAAGATAAATACTGGAGTAAAGTGCAGATATCTGAAAATATTATTTCAGTACAGTACTAAAGTATTTGTACTTCCTTAATTCCCACCTCTGTATTCCAGCTTGTGCATATTTAGTAGACCAGCTACTACTCACCACCTGATCCTGTTGTAATTTACCTCGAACTGTAATGTTTGTTTAACCCCGAACAAGTGATTTTGATGCCTAAGTAAGACTCACACACTACTCTACAACTCCGACCTCTCTGTCATGGTTGAGGTAAGTAACTCCACAGTAGGACATTTACAATATTATTCATAGTCTAACAAGCATAGACACTACTGTGGTTCTGTCCCCAGTCTGTTCTCAGACCCATAGTTTATTCAACTACTGGAAGTCCTACTTTCTATAGTTCATAAAATAAAAACAGGGGGAAAAGGTGACTAAAATGATCAAATTCATTTTTCACCTCATTTTCTTAGGTTCTGTTAACATTTTTCAAATTCCTATTAAATACCATGTTTTTATGTTAATATTTTAGGTTTTTAAGCAGGAGGGTATCTCGCATTTTTATTAAATAGAGAAGTAAGAGTCTGTCAAAATTCAATAAAAAAAAAATTATTTAGTCAGTCCATCCATCCATTCTCCCATTCTCTTCCACTTATCCTTTTTTTTCGGGGGGGGGGGCGGCGGGGGGTGGCGAGAGAAGGCGAGAGAAGGGTACACCCTGGACAGGTCGCCAGTCTGTCACAGGGCTTTTAGTCATTTAAATTCAGTCTTATTTATATAGTATGAAATCACACTAACCATCACACTTTATATTGTAAGGTAAAGACCCCACGATAATACAAAGAAAATGAATGCATCCTTACTTTGTTCTTCACCAAGTCTATTTTTTAATTGTATTCTATTTATTCCCTTCTGTCTGCGGAGACTGCAATCCATTAGATTTAGGTGGACAAAATTTAATTGTTTCCAGTGGCAATAATCTCTGTCTTAAAGAAAAATCACAGACAAAATTATGTTACATGAAAACAGATTAACTTTATTACAAATTCCATTTCTGGTACAGTCTATGCTTTTCTGCACTGCAAACCAAAAAAGAGGCTGCATACAACAAGAAAGCAAAATTACCTTTAAAAAAAAGAATCTGCTCCTGAGTTAACTGCTTGACCCACGTTTGAAACCACATTAAACATCCTACATAATTAATCTAATCGTCAAAAGCCATCTCAACATTACTGGGAATTAATGGGTCTACGGCAAAATGGCAAGCCCAGACAGTAACCTGACTGCCCGACACTTACCCGAATCAAACCAAAGTGGGGAGAGTTTCAACCTGTGTTTTGCCTCCTCTGCACTTTACTAAAGTCACCCTAAACCCCCACCCCATATATCCATATTAGGGTAACAAATGCCATGTCAGCAAAAGACAAACTCAAGAGGTAATATTTCACTAGTTTTAGATTAGTATATCTAAAAATCAATTTCTCAACCATAACTGCATATATTGTTAAGAAATTAGTAGTTGAATACAGTAATAATTACTGGGACAGTAGATGAAGAGAGGATAGACGGAGTAGAGACAGAATTTGGGATTTTGAAAATCTGCAAATATCTGGATTTACATATGTGAACAGAACGCACAGTGTCATCAGCTTCTGAAGTCTAAACCTCTCCATTCATCCATCATTCATCGACCATCCCTCAGTCCAGGACATTTCCCTCTCTCCTCTCCTTTCCTTTACTCCCCTCCTCCTCCTCTCCAGCCACTGTTGACGTCCATGGCTCTGTCACCCGCATCACCGGTTTCCACGCTGCTCTCTGGTCCAGTCATGTAGTCATTATGGCTCTTCTAATTGCCTCTGTGTTCACACCCGCGCTGTTTGTCTTCTCGCGGCTCCCTTTCTTTTTTCAGTTAGTTTTATTTTAGTTAATCAGTCGTCTTTTTTGTCGGAAACTCTTTTTATCCTCTTGCACTTTTCTGACGCTTTGGGGAGTTCCGTGCGTCCGAGCCTCTCGCACCTCTCCACGGTGTAAATCCCTGCTCTGGCTGCTCCACCTGGACGTGTCGCTAATTTCCCTATTCATTCACCCGTGCGGTCGTTTCACGTCGTCGTGACTCCTAATTGTTTCTTGGCAGAGTTAGAAACCGGTGGTGAAAAGGCTCATATGAGTGCGCCTCCGCTGATCCGTGCGCCCAGCCCTCTCCCGTTCTCAGGGGGCACAAACAACACCAACACCGGCGCCGGGGGAGGGGGTGGTGGTGGTGTAGGAGGAGGAGGAGGAGGAGGTGGTGGTGTGATCTCCTTCCACATCCAGATCGGTCTGAGCCGGGAGCCCGTGCTGCTGGATGCCGCGGAGTTCAGCCTCAGTCAGGTCCGGGAGGTGGCGTGCTCCATCGTGGACCAAAAGGTAACTAAAGAGTTTAAACCAAGTTCTAAAATCAAGTTCTAAAATCCTCTAAGTCCTGACAGAGTAATCATAATGTAAAGAAGTTACATTGGCGACATAAATCTTTCACGGGTTTAAAACTCATTAAATATAGACCATAAACACAGATATTTTCATTTCACGCTTTTCGTCTCTCTGATCTACTTTAAACTTGCCAAGTGTTTTGTTGAGGACCAAAGGAAGTGCAATAAGGAGTTTGGATTTTTCAGTGGGTTTCTTATTTGGGGGTTTCGTGACCTCACAGATGATGTCACAGTCCTCTCTGACCCAGTATATATTTTAGTTTTTTTTAAAAAGGGAAGTGGACACTGCACTACAGTATTTAAAACGAATATGATCTACAGATCATAATTTTTTTCTTGAATTTTTAAACACTTTCTGGTTTGGTTTTCTTCCCTCAATAAAACAAACAAACAAAAACATTTGAAGGTTAATGTTGTAGGTTATTGTTTGTTTTAGTTTATTTTTTAATTGGGGGTGTCAGACATATATTAATCAAATTGACCCGCAACTGGGTACAAACCAGCCACTGGATTACTTTGCAAATTAGGAAGTCATCAATAATGAGTAGTCAGCCATCAATAGTGGGAAGACATCCATTTCTTAAATAAAATGCATTGCTATTCTTGGCACAGTGGTGCCAGCTTTCAGAACTACAGGTCAGACTCAAAAGAGAGATTTATCTCACATGTGTCAGATTTAAAAGGATTATTGAACAAGTTGTTGGATAGTTCTGGGAACTGGAGAGTAGTTCAGAAAGGGATACTGGTTATCAGAAAACAAGTGGATAATCTGTACAAGAGGAAAGAGAGTGTTATTTCTGGCCAATCTTAATATCAGAAGAATCTTGTGAAGCAATGGAATTGCCTTACTTGTGGATTATCCAGACATGAATCATAGAGAAGGTTATACATTACAGGCAAGTATCCAGCAAGAAGAGACAAGTGGTGGTGGAGAGTGGGAAGGCAGGTCAGTGGGGTTGGAGGCTTGAGTGGAACTCACTGGGAATACAGGTAAGTCAGAAATCACATCCACAGAGTGAGACTGTGGGTGGTGTAACAATCTGTTGTCCTTCCTGGATGATAAGGAAATTCAGAACAGGTGTAGAAGGCAGAGAGAGTCATGCCCAAGGGTAGACCAAGGGAAACATTTACTCATCAATCCTGTATCAGGAAAAAGGATTAAAAAGTGAGTGAGATGAGCAGGGAAGGGCATTAATAAGAATTTACCAATTCCGATTCCGTTACGGATATCACTTATTGATTTAATTCTTTTACTGATTCTCATTAGGTTCTCTTTGGCTTTTAGACTCACCACCATCGCTAAGCAGCATCTCAAAGGCATTACAGTCATGCAGATTAATTGCGTGCTGTGTAGTCAAATGTTTGTGCATGTTGGAGGTATTTCTCATCTTTGTTGTGATCAGTGTTGGGCTCATCATTCAACAAAGTAATGTGTTGCACATTACACAGACAGAGCATTCACATTCCCAACGCGTAACATACCGACGATTTGTCGCGGCCCAAGGCGTGTCATAGTAACGCGAAAGCTACCCCTCCGTGTCCTTATTAAACGCTCCAGATTCCTAATTGAAGTGAATAGAAAGCTGCTTCGTGGCTTTCTATTTGCTTCCTTTTTATTCTCTTGCCAGCTTTCTATTGCAACCCTAACCATAATCTTAAATTTATAGATTTATTCCAACCTGCTCTCATGCCTCAGAACGCGCAACATGTTGATGATTTGTCACATAGTGTCTGTATGTTATGTGTTGGGATGAAAACGTGTTGACACAGAACAGTTTTCTTAAAAGTAATTCAAAATATTAATTAATTCCAGGGGAAAGTTGTTACACTACTGGTTACATTGAAATGAACTAAAACACATTGTCTCATAATTACAATTAAACACAGTCTACAGTACCACATATCAGCACAAATCTCTATCCTAACAAGGACACACATACATGATTTTTCTCTTAGTATTTAGGTATGAAAACAAAACCAACAGAACAAAGCAAACATGAAAACCAGCACAAAGATACTTTAAAACAATCGCCATGGTGATTCTATATTAGAAACAAGAACAGGTAGAAATGGAGGCAGCAGTCTGACTGCTCATCACTTCTTGTTCTTTCTTTTTTTCCTGTAGAAGTTCAGGGTCTGGCTGCTGAGTTGGCTTTCACTCAGCTTCAACATCGCTCTTGGCTAGTTTAACAATACAGTAGCACGTTGTTTATGCTTGCAAAGAGCCAAAGTTATGTTAGCAGCATAATGCAATTGTTTCCGTCCTGGATGTAAAAATAAAAGTAATGTTCATATGCAGGTGTTTCACCTCACTGTTTTTGCACTTTTTGTAAAATAACTTTTTGAAACTGAGAACTCAGTTTTACCCTTTTAAAATACCTTCAAAACTTATAGATGATGGTGCAACTGTGAAGGGCTTGAGAGAGTCAGAAAAAAAATACTATGTCATCATAAAAAAACTTACTCTGTACCAGTTATTCAGCAGCATAGACCAGAACCTTAAATCTGAGCCACAACCCTTACCTAATGAGACTGAATCAAGCAAATACCAAAAGACTGAATATTGAAAAGGCAATCTCTAAATGACGAAATGGGGATTTTAATTTGAGAATAGAAGCTGGAATTCTTGAACTGAGGATCAATGAGAAGAAATCATCCAAGAGGTGACACACAGCTGGAAGCTTAACTTTATTCAACACAATCCATCAGAGAGTTTCAAAGACTAGGTTGAAAATGACGTCTTTTACACCTGAACATTAAAATAACAGCAAAGTAACATTTTGAATTCCAGAAGGATGCCACTGAGCCCAAGGAGCAAAACTGGCTGAGAGGAAGAGATCAAAGGTGAGTGTATGCAGTTTGTGTTCTCCATCACTTGAAGGTGAAAGTCGACGGCATTTAGAAAAGGCATAACTGCGTCACATCCGTGTTGCTGGTAGATGGCCAAGGATCCGAGCTTCACGGAATTTTATGCTTTTCCTGTGGAAGGGGAGGTGATGCAGCAGACTTCCTGGTTCTATTTTGCTTGCACGTAATTGTTTTAGAAGGAGCAGAAACAGCAGGAATGGGGGTTTGTTGAGGAGGTGGACTGACTTGCAGTCCAGACTGAGTCATGTCTAATGCAGCAGCAAGCTCTCATATTTTCTCATGCACTATGATCGGGCAAGAAGATGCAGAGAAGAGTACTTCTGATGGGACACAATACAGGAGCTCCCTCTACTAGAATTTCACACAGATGAGGATTCAAATGGCTCTGGCTGATCTTGATCAGGAATAGGTTCGAGGATGTCACTAAGAGGGGGACACATGATTAAAAATGTGATAGCATGACAAAAGAAACATCATAAACACCACTGCATGTATGAAAGGCAGAATGACAGAAGTGGTTTGTGATTTAAACCACACAGAAGTGAGTCTGATTGGCTCAGTCGAGGAAGAAGATGATTGGACTGGAACAACGATGCCAGTGTTGAGTTTGACAGTGTGGGAGAGCGGTAGTGATGTAAAGAAGCTGAACACCTAGGGAAGTGGGCAGATGATTGCAGAGCTTAATACTGAACTAACACATAGGCTTAGAATAGTAGAAAGGGGAATACTGTTGCTATGTCACTTTCCACACCTTTACAAATCAGTTTTTATACACTATACAGGTTTGTTTCCAGTACAGCAACTTTACCTCAGGAATGCTGACTAGTTGTGACCAAGCTTATATTAAGCTTTGTTATATACGTCAACAATAATAAGGATGGTGGTTTCCATTTGATTCTTTCACCAGCAGATGAAACAAAATTTGGCACAAAAGAATTTAGTATATCACCGAGGGTAATTTGTTTAAGTTAATTGCTGTTAAAAAAAGATTTATTGTTGACAAACAGTTTCATGAATTGTTTGTTTTAAAATAACTGTATTTACAATGTATCAGATGCTCAAATAAGGCATTCGAATGTATCCATCCTCGCAAACATGGCTGCATTTTTAGACTTTTGATACAGTGTTTTTTATTTGTTACATGCAGCAGGAGATTTGAGGTGCAGCAGCAAGCCTTTGCTGCTGAACAGACTAACACATGAACACACAACATTTCTCTGATGGCATGCAGTGTGTTTAGCAGTTTTTCGCTCTATGTGTAAAGCCTACAGTATGTGAGTCTGGAAAGGAGTGTTAGTCAGTTGGTGACTCACTCTGAGGCTTGTTTCTCATTGGAAACATGATTAATTCTGCCTTTGTTCACTCGCTCTGCAGGGGTTTTTCTGTTTTTCTGGCTTTTGCTTTATGAACTGAATTGAACTGCAAAGCTGTTACCGAGCACTCATAATTAAACCACGCTGACACACACACAGACAGTGTCGATGTCCTTATGAATGTGATAGATGTCCTATTTCTCACATAGGCAAGCAGAGAGAAATCTCAGAGGAGTTTATGAATGCAGGCGTGTTTTTATTCTCTTATTTCCACAAATAACAATAATGTTGTTGCAAATTACTTTTTCTCTTTCTCCAACACCTAATCAAACCAACGTTCACTCCAAAAGCCACAATGTAAAACATCAAGCCCTTCAGTATCAGTATAATTGCAATTAATGTCTATTATTTTATCTTAATTTTCATTTTATAAATGGGACTGGGTAATATATACCAGTGGCCCCTTAGCTGTTGTGCGTGTAGTGCATTCCAAAGTGTCGTGTATTGTAATCACATCACATTTTTTCAGTAATGCAGCACGAAGTTAAGTAATTACATTACAGTTAATTGTAACTGTTGACAAAAAAATTGTAACTGTTGACAGAAAGTTACAAAGTTTTTTCTTCCTGTGCACTGGGTTGTATGAGCTGAGCTACAGTTTTTGGGGAGTAGAGATACAGACAGTACTTTTATTTTTATTGCTCAAAAGAACAAGAATGCAATGGTAAAGTGCAAACTGCCTCTAGGACAAAAACAA